GCTAAAAATGTATCTCATTAAAAGTTATTTGTTACTGGTAATTTTTCATTGAATAACTTGTCATTAAAATTTAAATGTACCTACATACAAATGTAATACTAATGGCCTTATAGTTATTAAAAAAAAAAATTATCATTTTAAGACCAATAAAAAGAAAAGTTATTAGTACTTATAAAAGTAATTAAAATTATATTATAATGAATAAAATAATAATAATTTTATTATATACAGTGTACACTATTGCATACTGTCCGAAAATAGCCTCAATCTCGTATGAAGTTCGAAATTCGGAAACTGTCGGACGTGTATACTGTTCAGTGTAAATATTAAATATTAGCATCAATATTATAAAAGTTTAAAATGTATGCGTCTATAGCGGATATTTCACTGAATTTTATGGTGTCAGAATACTACTCAAATTCAAACTAAATTTATCTGTTTACATTCTGTTCATTATTAAAATCGCAATTTTGGTTTAACATAAAAAAAAAATTTACAATTATGCAAATATTTGTTGGATAAAGTAATTACATTTATAAACTTTAAAAAATAAATTACCAAAATTAAATTTCAAAAGTGTGCTAATTTTAACTTATAATTTATAAGTTATTTACGTTGAAACATATATATATATAACGTGAAGAGTGAGTGTAATAAAAGATAAAACTTATTAAATACTACTATATCTAAGCGTTAAGATATTTTGAGCGAAGCGATCTATTCCAACTACTTTTAAGTGCGTATACCCATACATTTATTAACTAATAATTTACTGCAGAGCAGTCAATGGATATAAATCATAAATAATGATGATTGATAACAATAAGAAATTAACCAATTCTATATAAAAATTTGATCGTGTTTAACACTATACGAAATTGTCGATTTGAATTACTATCAAGTTCAAACCATATATGTCAGCACTACAAAAAAATTCTAAATGTGAACGAAAAAAATATTTTGTAGGTACCTATTAATTTTTAAAATTTAAAAAACAGTGTTAAGATTACGTTCACATTGCAGGTACATTGATGTGCCATAACTATACTAAGTAGTTATTAATTATTATATAGTACCTAAGTACATCGTACATATGTCATATACCTATATAGGTTAGTATATCAAGTAAGAAACCATTATAGATAGGTAGTGGATACATTTAAATGTGTCAAACCTGTGTCGATATCGACCGTTGTCGCGTTCACTGCAGTCTTTGTTTATTACGATAAATTAGAAACTCCCCTTACGCAAATACGATGTACAAAAATCTTTATATTCTGAATTTATAAATTTATAATATAACATCAGAGCAATGCTCATAGTATACATGCTTTAAATTGGTTTCATCTTGTTTAAATAATATAATAAAATTAGCTTTATCGTGCAAAAGTTGTTCAGGTATTTTTGAATAACTCTGCAGAGGTAGATAACAAACGTCTATTAAATTATGTCGACCTTAGGAAAAATAAGATCTAACAATTTTTTGATTTTCCGAAATAATATCGTCAAAAATAAACACAGAGTTTGGTAAAGCTTATGTTCAGGTTCAATATAACTTTCTCGTTTTCGTAGAACGTGAATAATCCAATATTAATATCTGATAAAATGTCGCTTAGCATTTTATATTTAAATTGATCCAGTGTTTTCGAATATATATATATAAACGTTATGGAATCTTATTCCGTTTATATTGATTAATGAAGCGAAGATTAGGTAAATTCATTTTTCTATAGCCGGAAGGACCCATGATGAGACTGCACGTATCGTGTAAGGAAGAAGCACTCTATAATTCTATATCAATGTTTTTAATACAATAAAAGCGAATCAACGTTTTCAACTGTAAGCTTAGTTTCTTGTTCGATGAATTTCATTTTTGATATAAATAAATAAATAAGCAACGGTGAATTATCAATCAGTACACAATGTTATTCGCTTGAAGAAGTAACAAGAATAAGAGTGGTGGGCTTATTAACACATTTTCAAACAAACTGCCGATCGAGCTTTACGTGCCTGGTAGTTGGTACTATGTAAGTCTGATAATATTATAAACTATGTTTCATAGTTATTTTTTTATCAATATTGCGGACCTAATACAAATTTTAAAAAAGTTTAGTTTGTGGGAATAAAGGCATAAACCCACTAGACTCTGAAAATAACACGATATTACATACGAGCGTAGTAATTCTATCACAAATCGAAACGAAGCTGACCATGTATATTAAAACAAAGAACCTGGGACAGGTTCAAGTCGAAAAATTCAAGTTTAAAAGAAAAAATAGTGGCTTGAGGTGTAACTAGTTGTGATTTTAAAGCCACACTTAAAGCAAGTAAAAACATTATGGGGAAAAATATCAGTGAAAAAACTTGATGAAATTGATTAAAAAATGTATAGCCGTCACACGAAAAACATTTAAAACTAAGAAAACTTAAGTTCCGAAAAAGATAACGATTTCGAAAAAAGGCGGTGTGCTACCAATAATTCCGATTTTTGCCGGTTTATCAGCTCTATAAGAGTCCTGACTCGCATTTAGGCAAAGGGTTATAACTCGCACCGTAACGTCCTAAATGCTTAGAATCAGCGATTGTTAACTTAGATACGGCGAATAGTACAGGAACGTATTGGGTAGAGTACAAAAAAATCGGAAAAAAGTCGTATATTACGATAATTTTGAAAAATTATCTCCACCATTAGAAATTCAAAAATATTTTCACGGGCGTGATATTAATTCCAATATCAATAGTGATCAAAAATTTAATACTATGAACTGTGGTCATTTGTGTTTACAATTTTTATCGTGAACAAATTAAACGGGAACTCGAGTGAATCGTCATGCGACATTTTTGCTCCGTTGAAAGTAGAAAATACTACACAGATGTGCATTTTAAGCTTACAGACAAATAATTCAATTCCAAACATAGAACCTGGCTGCAATACTATAGTTTTTCAAAATTATATCGTTATTTTACTTACGGGTTCCTATGCACCACTGTATAACATTTGTAGGAACAATTTGTGCAATATTTTTTATGCTTAGAAAATATTTTGATAATATTAATGCAAATTTATTTCGTCAAATGTATACGTCGTATTTGTTTGTATTTAATGTTACGTCATTAAAGTCTAAATTTATCACGATACATTGCACTTATGCAATTTTCGTCAAACGTTAATTGATTTAATTAAAAATCGTACTATAATAAAATAATAGGTAATTATTAATACCTCAACATTAACAGCATTACGGTATTGTCGCATAACAATAAATATGAAAACAACGCAGTTATAATTAATACACACGCGTGATGAAATCTCACAATGAATTTTAATTAATAATTTACGAATTCCAAAGATAAATTATACCTACTGTACATAGCATACCTATGCATTTTATTATATTTTGAGTGATGGCCATTCGCTAAAAATAAATACGATCGCACGCGTGTTTATGTATAAATAAAATACTTCCTACTCTCTTTTTTGTTCTTTATTTACTATGTGCGCGTGAATAAGCACCTTATATAGATAATAACATTTATTGGTATTAAATATGAAAGTAAGAATAGGCAACTTAAAATTCATGGTACTTGCAAGAAGTTACATTTGATTCGATGTAGGTATCGAGTTGTCCGATTGGCTTGTATTTGTATGAAAAAATGTTTATATAAAGCTATATACTGGATAGAGACATAATATGAACCAGGAATAAGTAATGTACTAACGTACAATAAAATCAATAGACTTGGTTGTTTCACATGTATACAACAAAATAAAATAGGTGATTCGTTAATTAGTCATGTTCAATGTTGATGTTTTATATAATGTGTACAATGTACATTTATGTAAGTATTTATATACTACATTGAGTTCTTTAAATTTTAATTGGTATGAGTGATGATTAATAGTTTTTTTTTTTTTATGTAATTAATGCATAGTGGATGATAGCTAGACGATAGAGTATGCACAAGGATAATATGCAAACATCAGAAAAATATTTTGATTCTTAATTATCACCAATTTACTGTATAGGACATACCCAGGGACATTATTCATATTATGTATACATGTAGTATTATACTCGCGAAGAGTCGTAGATTACGTTTGAACATAGTATTAGTAGTATTACATCAATTATAATTGTATAATAATAATGATTGATAAGACCATTGGCAGTATATAGTACTATACATAATATACGTCTCTAACTTCGGACTAAAACTTTTAATAATCTGTACATAAAATAAAAAATGTACTTTATTAAAATGCAAAATATTCATATGATTTATTGTATGGTTATTGTTTTTATAGCTTAAAAATGTCGATAATTTTAACGATGTCGTTGATTCGACTAATTGTATCCATAGATGCGTAGTCCGAAAACCAAATACCAAATATTGTCGTGTATACTATATTCGAAATCGATCAGTATAGATATAAATAATGTATAATAATTTACAATAATATAACAACAATAACAATAATGATAGGTAAGTACTATTTATTGCGACAACAAATAATTAATAGTATGAAAAAAACAAGATGCTGCAAGCTCGTCATCCAATAAGCGCATGTTATGGCGAGCATACGGATGAAATTATATTAATATAATATTATGCTCAATTTTACAATATACGCATATTATCATGATTCATGACACTTGCTATATATATAAATATATAATTTATATATGTGATGTGTGTATGTATAATGTAATAAATAATATTACTTAATATTATCACATTTTATGTATAAAAATAACAATAAATTTCGATTTGCGTTTGTGTTTTTCGATATTTTTAATAAATAAAATAATAGGTATATGCCTAGAATTATTATATAAGACTCGCACCGATTGTATACGGGACACAGAAACGCCGACGTATTAGCGCAATCACCGCTGCAGCGGGCGGCGTTTTCGGTCCGTCGTGTAAAAATGCCTCGGCCGCGCGCATCTTGCGCAGTGCGTTGCGTACAATGGGCGGCGTGTGTTTTACATCCTCAACCGAATATAACATGTGAATACGGTAGTCGACGCCAACTGTCGGGGGCGTAGGACGTGATTTGTTTTCAGCTCGTTTTTATTATTCGTTGCTGTTCGGCCGTACGCACGCACACGCGTTCCAAACACATAATATTATTATTGCCATCATTACAATCGTGTCTTCGTCTCCGTCGTCGTCGACTGCTTGTTAACGGTGTTTTCGAAGCGGCCGAGAGGAGAGATGTGCTTTTGAGATCTCAAAAAACAATCCAGGTACGTTTATTTCGATAACAGTTCATGACACGGTTCAATTTGACCAATACGCTTCACAGAATAAACGCCCGAAACCCGTATTGTACGGGCGTTATTTCGGTTTTCGAATAATATATTTTCATTCTCGACACGAAACGCTGGTCAAACGAATGAATTACGCGATATAGGTATACACGCACACACACATACAAATATTTAGCATAGGTATAATAGAAGTGCGTGTTGTTTTCTTTATTATTTTTTTTTTTTTACACGCGCGCAATAATAATAATTATTAATAGACATCCCTTGCCCACTATCTCGTTAAGTATAACCACATTATACAGTGTTTTGTTTATTAGCGAGTACAAATTATTATCACTACAACTGCAGTAGCCGTATCATAGAACCGTCCCCAGACCAGTATGTCTGCAGTATTATAAAATTATCATAACGTAGAATTTGAAAATTTTTGTATTTTGTATATACGCACTCGCGCACACACGCACGCTATTGTATGTCAGTGTTATCCTCACACGGCCGCACCTTTGACCCGTCGTAACTGGTGAGTACGGTAGCCGAGCCTCCGATTAACGTACAACACGATTGCGTTGCCAAACTTATTAATCATATTATTATTATTATTATTACTGTTGTACGATGTGTACAACGCGCCGTGAACTGCGGTGCATGCGTTTCCAGAAACGAAATTGATTGGAATCGACCGGACGATTTGTCCGATGATTTTTAATTGCCAGTAATTAAATCAGCGGCCAACCGTCGTAATCGCGCGTTACAATTTTTATTCATTGGATTAACGAACCGCATCCTGGATGCGTTCGCCCGCGTGTCCGAAATCCTCGCCGCCCGGGTCCGAGATCTATAATCATGTATAATATACTTGTGTACCATTATTGTACAGCTGTCTCGCTGTAGCAGTAAAACGGTGACTGCGTATGACATTGTAATGGTATTAAACCGACTGAGCCGCACGTTTTTCGTGACCCAGCCCGCCGCCACGGGTTCTGATTGTCTTTCAATTTAAGTCGTCGTCGTCGTCTGAGAGCAGAAAGACCCCTCGTTTTTTTCTTTTTCGAAACGCGCGATTGACAACATACTCAATAGCCAACCCGTTTGTATAGTGTGTGTGAGTGTGTGTGTGCGCGCGTATGTGTGTGTGCGTGTGTGATGCTGCACGCCATCGTCACCAGATGTTGGATATGTACAAACCGTACAGGCACCTCGATATAAAATAAGATTTTATAACGATATTCCAAACGAGATTATTGTACACGGCAACGTGCGATTAATGAGATTGATCGACACGGGATAACCATTATAATAATATTATATTATAAATTATACTGTATTTATGTATACATGTTGTACTTACATAAATCTAATATATTATGTCAAAGTGCTATCGGATCAGTTGTATATATTTTATAATATGCTCTAAAATTTAGTCTTCAATAAATACGCTTCTTTTAAAGGACAAAAAAGTTATTATAAATGTTTAATCAAAACATAAAAGTGTAGTACTATCCAAAATAACTCTCATTATTGATAATATTTTAATATTTTTCAGTACACAATAGTCGTTATGCTATCTCGTTACTTACCTATTAAATTGTCGGAACGTGATCATTAGGATATTTATACATAGATCCTAAAACATTTTGGTGAACATCTTGTTTATTAATCAGTGTAAATATGATTAGTTTAACGTAATCTTTTGACCTGTATAATGTCGATAAAAAAAAACCATCCTAACAGGATTGTAACAATAAAAATCACTAGAATGATAATCCAGTTACAAGTTAACAACATAATACGTATTTATAAAAAAAATTTTATTTTATAATTTATAAGCAAAACTATATAAACATCAGTTTAAAATATAATTAAAATAGAACGTAGTTTGTGTACATAAGTAGATAACAATAAACTTACTGAAGCTGAAGCTCTATTTTTTTGTAAAATAAAAAAAATGAATCAACTGACTTGAATATTTTCATGGGTGTATACTGGTTTGGTTTGGTTTGATAATTTATTTATTTATTTATTTTATAAAAAATTATAAGTTTATTACAGGTGTCTGTTTCAATAATAATTAAATTGCGAGTTTTTAATGGCTAATTTTAAATTTGTGAGTGTATAACCTGTCAGCCTCCCCCCATAAAAGCCATAGCTTCGCCAATTTTATAGTATTATCTGTAAACAATATGCATGTGTACATAATATACAACATGGCAATTGGCAACAATTTAATATATTTTATGTATAGCCGTATAGGTACACGCAGAATCAACCATCAAGTAAATGTTAATATGTATTTGATGTTTTGATTTTGTTTAATATAACGATCTGTTAAGGTGATTGGAAGCGGATATTTTCTGTCCTTGTCTAACACATATGTAACATAAGATTATAGACGTATTCTATTTCTAACGTACCGATTGATATAATAAAACGATAAGAATCATGAAAACAGATATGAATTTGTGGTCAAGTCTACTTTAGATCGATTTTCTCACATTTTGATATTATTTTCCAAAAATCCTAAAAATGATATATTAAAAAATTGACATATTTCAATTTTTGGAGAAGTTTAAATCAAAAAATCAAAAATGTGAGAAAGTCGATCTAAAGTAGACTGACCAGGGGCGTCATTTCAGATTATTTTTTAGGTGTGCGAGGTTCCAAGCAGGCCATTTTGAAATTTCATCAGGCCATATAAAAGTAGATATATGTACGTATATGTACGCATTATCCTGCTTTTAATTATTTCCATACATTTCATGGACCTAATTAACGCATCAATATAAATAGACAGTAAAAATCAATTTAAAAACTAAAATATAATAAATAATTAACAATCATAATAATTGACTGTACAATGTACATAGATGTCATTGTTGAAAAATTGTCAATATGAAAATTAAAACACAATTTAAGAAGATTTAATCTTGAGAATTATTTCAGCAGGACGCAGGTTAATTAGTATATTATTTTAAAAGTAAAGGGTGCAACCACATACCCTGATCCCCCCCCTAAATGACGCCCCTGGACTTGATGACAAATTCATATCTGTTTTCATAATTCTTATCGCTTCATTATATCAATTTGTACGTTGGAAATAGAATACGTCTATAATCCTATGTTACACGTGTGTTAGACAAAGACAGAAAATAGCCGCTTCCAATCTCCTTAATTTCAATTTGTCATTTTTGAACAAGATAATAATGATTTAATTTGTGAGGAACTAATAAATTGAAAAAGTAATCGAAATATCTAATATGAATTCAACACATTATTTAAATATAATGTGTGAGAATTAAAATAAAAATATTAGTTTTTGAGTACAAACGTTATTATACCGACATTAATCATACTTATAATACATTATTATTATTATATTATTACTTCATTAATCATTACCCGTTGCATTCAATATAACTTATATAAGTTATAAATAATAATATAACCTTAATGTTTGTTAGCGGAGAAAATAATATTTTGTATGATTCATTCTTAGATATTGTACCAAGTTAACATATTAAATGTAACATTTTATTTATAAATAGAGAGGTATAGTAGTACTTGAAATATTATACTCACATAGACAATTGAAAATGTCTGTATAATTATAATATTAATCAGAAACGAAGTCAATAATAATTTTCTAATTATACTATAACCAAAAAATATAATTATATATTTAATACTTAATATTTGAGTACCCGTATAAAAAACATATTTTGTTTTCCATTTCAAAATTAAAATAATTTTTATTAAACATATTTTTGACGGATAGGTTACTAGTATATTATAATAATTACGATTATGCTGCCACTAAAGCCATATGCAATCATTAACAGGTCAATAATACGTTATTCGAAATACCACTTCTCAATCTCAATAAAAGAATGTATCAATCATTGACGATCTAATGATGTTCATAGATTAAATCTAGAACGAATACAATAACAGTTTATGATAAAGTGCACATGTGTTCTATAACGTAATCAATTGAGTCTAAATTCCTTAAATTCAAACACATAACCATTAACATTGTCCATTAGTTTTCTGGTAATGAGAGGATGTAAAAAAAAACAACTTACACTTAAACGTTCTAAATACCGATACTTAGTAATATAAATTGTGTAATGGGCACATAAAATGTTAAAAATAATTGTTCTGTTTATTCATGTTTAAAAAATATAAATAAAAAAGGACTATATTCAAATTGGTGGTTTTAAAATTTGGTTGGTACTAAAAAAATAATACGGTACTTAAGTCAGTAATCACAATAATTATGCAAATAATTCATAGTATTTGTTGGTATTTAGGTACATAAAATCAAAATACACTTTTAACTATCTATTTTTATTTCATACTTCGCAAAAATCTAAAATAAACAATTTACCTATGAAGTTATAAATTATATCATGATAACTAAAATAGTTATTTTACGTTCAAATAATCAATTTTTTTAAACTTTGAATTTTAGCTGTTCATAAGAGAAACTTATTTAATATTTTTATAGTTATTTTGAAGTTGAAATGGGGACGAAATCAAAAATGTTAATTATGAAGCGTTGATTATATTTTCTAATAATTTTAAAACATTATTTTTGGAGACTTAAAACTTTTATGTACCTATATATAATTTTAATTGCATGCAAATATGCAATATCATTTTAAAAATATTGGAATTTTGTATATTTAAATTAGAATCAGGTTAAGAACATTTTAAAATTGTCAATTCATTCTAACATTAAAAATGGTTGACAAGTCAGTCTATCTAAAGTAAGTGTTGAGTGGATTAATGTTAATGAATGTGTTACATTTTAATGCAATGATTTGTATTATACGAAAAACTATTCTGAGCAGAGACCGTCAACCTATGTCACAAACTATATATTTCATGTATTTTTTTGATATTCATAAATCATAGTTATTAAAGTCATTTATTTTACTTTTATAATACTAAGGTAGGTGGATATATTTGTTTTCAAAAATATTGCATTTATTATATTATTATGACTAATTTATATTTTTACCATATTATAATATCAACTTTTTTATAAATCAAAATTAAATAAAATATTGTAAAATAGTAAAAATAGATTCATTGTATAAATATAAAATATCTTAAAATAAATCAATAACTTCATTATAAGTATACAGTAAAATACTAAAATTCATAATAATATAATATATACGTAAAAGTTTTAATTCATCGTGAATAATGTTATGAAATTATAAAAAATAATTAACATTGTTATTTTTATTTAAATTAGTAATTTCGTCCAAATTTGAACTTAAAATGCCTATAAAAAATAATTATCATTATTTATTCTTTATATTTTATGGTTTCAGTATATGAACTACTTTATTGAATTACATTTTCTAAACTTAGTTATAAAATGAAAAAGTTTTTATGAATTTTTAACGATAAAATTGTTTGCATTTTTCATGATTTTGACGAATTTCATAAAAAATCTAATTTTAAATGCATATAAATAAAAAAAAAAATTGTACCTATGTATTTTAATATTTTTATTCAAATATAAAAACAACTTATATGGGATCTTGAATTAAATTTTTAAGAATTTTGACACAGCAAATAATTTTTATTCATATTTAAAAAAAAAAAAAAAAAAAAATCAAAATTTGTTGTATCTATAAATAAATCAAAAAAGCTTACGCAATTTTGAAAATTTTATTATGCAATGAAAATGATAATGTAAACATTTGTTGATAATTTGGCTTCCTGTAAAATTATTTTCATATATAAATTAAAAACTAATAAAAAGCATTGTTTTAAATTTTCAAATTTTAGGTATAAAAAAAAATTTTTTTTATAAATTTCTAACAACAAAATAATTAGTATATTTTTGATTTTTAATGATTTTTTTTCATAAAAATTCAAACTTTAAACGCTTATAATAAAACATAGAAATTATATACGATCGATATTTTTTAATTAAGAAATTAAAAACCTATGTAGAGCTTTGTATTACATTTTTAAGTATTTCTAATTTATTTTACACACCAATAATTTTTAATCAAAATTTATTAAAAGCTCAAAAATAGTCGAAATATTTTGAAAATTGCATAGTTAATATAAAATAATCATTTAAATAGTTTGTGAAAATTTGAATTGTCTACAGTAATTTGTTTTTGAGTTACTCCAAAAAAAGAGTTTGTTCGATTTTGTCAAAAATTGGATTTGAGTAAAAATTCTTGTTTTTTCTTAGTTCTTTTTTTTTTTTTTTTGGTCATTCTGATTGTAAAAAAATTGTTAAGAATTTTTTCTTCTGACTACCTAAAGACTAAAGGATTAACTAGGTTCACTTTGTTACTAGAATCCTCAAAAGATTATGGCAGACAAAAAAAACACACATAATTGTAAAATCAATACATGTATCGTTCCGCTCAAAATCTAAAAATATATTATTGGGACAATTTAATTTTAATTTTTAATGGTTGTAACTTGTAAATTAATAACTTATTAGGTACTACGAATTAAATTTCAAATATTTTAACCCAGTGTAAATGTATTGATCAATATTTATACTTACAATAAAAAAAAAATTGAATATTTTAAATATCTATAAATAGTTCTAAAAGAGCCCAAAAATAATTATGAAAAGTAAACTAAGTTTATAAAATATCAACAAAAACATTAGGTTGATTTTTCAAATATCTACTGTTATTTATTTTATGTTACCCTAAAAACTGATTTTGTATAAAAATTCCCGTTTTAACTAATTTTTTTTTGTTTTTAATTATTATTTTTAAAATAATTGTAAATTTTTATTTTAACTCTAAAGTATAAAATTGATCAAATTCCCTATTTAAAATTTCACTCAATGTTGAAAATCGAAACATTTTTCAAATTTTTATCAGAAAAAAAAAATACATTATAAATGTAAAATCAATACATATCGCTTTGCTCAGAGTCTTAAATAACAAAGGAAAATGAATTCTTCGCGTAAAATTTTCCATGTTATGCATTAGTACATTACTACATTAGTATTACGGAAACAAATAGTATACGCCATACGGGTATAAAATTCTTAACAAAAGCCTACTGCGCAATAAGCGTCATATTATGATGTGGGGCCATATGAAGGTCTAAAAGGTGTAATGTTAACTTTCTATTTATTTTAAATGAAATACCAATAATATAAAAATGTAACAATAATATTTAATTGGAATAGCATTATAGCCAGGATTTGTATATTTTGTGCTAAGATTATTATAAAACACTTGGAAAAACGACAATCTCAATATAAATGGAAAAATATATTTTATTTTTAATATACAAAAAAATTAAATGGTTTTAATTATTTCGTTATTGTTTTTTTTTTTTTTTTATATATTATGTTTAACGTTATCTTAGCGTTTGCAAAATCTAAATTTATTTATTAGTTTATTACAAGTTTAAATATTGATTAAATTGAATATTTAATCGAAAAAGTACGATTTTAGTTATTAGGTATTTATTTTATAGGAATTCAAAAATTATTATTTGTAAGAATTAAAAATTTTTCACCACCAACACTTTTATTTATTTAATCAAAATAGAGCAATAATTAATGTAAAAATAATAATTCCAATTTTCGGTTTAATATAATTTGATAAATGTTTAACCAGTTTAAGCTTAGGGTGAGTTAAGTGGGTTACAAAGCAGAAAAATATAAATAATAATAAGTTCAAGATCAAAAAAATTATGGAAAACAATACAGTGAATGTATCATTGTATCATTTATATCATATTATATTTATTTATCATACACACAAATGATCGAATTTATATAATAATCAAGTTTTAACAACCTTTTTAACATACATATTACTATACTTTAACGTGGCATGATTGAAAATAATTTTTTTTACGGTTGAACTGGTCGAAGGTAATGATAGTTAAACATTATTGAACCTGAATAAATCTCTGTTCAAATTTCATGTGTACACAGTACACATGTACACTAATATTATCATATGCTTTAGAATCTTGTTTATTTTCTCGTTTAGTTGTAATTATAATTTATATTATTATTATTTACTATACACAAATTTTTTTTTTAAATATTTACTTTAAGTTATTTATACCGTAAATCTACACTATCATATTTACATTGTTTTATAGTATTTGCTACATTGGTATTGACTTAAGTTTATAACAGCTATTACATACTTGTATGAAATTATTACTATATAATATAGGTATGCGATTTATTTAAAAAAAAAACTTGTTAAAATCAATAAAACTTGTCGTATGGCTATTACTAAAATGAATTACTATTAACAATATTATAATGTAAATATACAATTAATTATCCTCAGAAATTTAGGATCACTATATATATATAATATATATATATATATAGCTATCTCCATTTTGAAGTAGTTTTTCGTATTTACAATAATTTATCATTGAATTCAAATGTAACACATTTATTAGGTACACTATTACAGTTATTACTGAATTATGAAGTAGGTACACAGTATACTCTAAATTTGTGTCTTCGACGCCTTCTATTCAACTTACTCAGCAGTGCGACTTCCCCGGTTTTAATTATATTTTAAATATTGTAGAAAACGTATATAAATAATATTATGTTTATATTTTCTGTCGACTTAAATCCAAGTTTGCGGCACCACAATTATGAATCCCTGATCTTAACTTTCCACTTAAATTGTCATTGATTGATTCAAAAAACAAACGTCCAATCTAATGTATATTATGTATCCTAAATTTCTAAATTATCGATGTTCGGACCATTGTTCGTAATAAATAATAATGTATAATAATAACGAAATAATATTCTATATATCCTTACATATAATTGTATACTGTTAATAATAAATAATTTCATATCATGTGTTGTTATATTCTTTTATTTTTTTTATAGATTTCCTGAGAATTGGTGGTATAATGGATACGGCAATGGGTAAGTAGCATTGAAGATAGTTTTACTACAATATTATGTTCAATAATAACTTATGCGCTACATATGCACTCGTGTGCATAGTAAACAAGAAGACCACCACACTATATATTATATATCTATAGGCTCACACGCACGCGTGCGCGTGCACACACACAATGCCCATTAAATTGCCCTTCCTGCATATAAAACATCCCCGTGACTAGAAATACTTAATCGATTATAATATATAATTTTTTTTTATTATTATTATTATCATAATATATTTATAAAACGTTTTCTTTTCAAAACGATTACATTTTTTTTAAACAGCAGGGCCACCGACTACATACGTTTTAGTGTGCCACCGCACGGAGATCTCATTATACATATAAGTATACATCCGTTGTTGTCCTACCATTAAAATCATCTATTAAATATAACGCCGAACATTATTATACCATAATAATTAACTATTATTTAATTATTTTACATTAAAATATTACTTACGATTTATGCATTCTTTATACATTAAAACTAATATTCTAAACATATAGAGATATAATATAACTGGTACCATCCTACGACCCGAGCGATATTATTTACGTCCATTTTTTCAAATGTGGTTTTGTTGGCATAACGTTATAAATCTCATAGTATTTTTGAAAGGCGGCTGGAAAAGATGATTCGCGTAATATTTAGATATACCCACGGGTACATTGAGCACGCTTGTTCCATCGAGATTATATTAATCCACGATGACGTGTTATATTAAGCATAATATATTCGTAGTTACCAACATATATAAACACTATACATCCGGATGTATTTAATGTTCTCCGTTTGTAGACTCCAAAAACCGCGTACGTAGCCAACATTCGTTAAATATGGAATTGTGTATAGTCGGATTATTATTTCCCGATATTCGTATTTCACCTCAAAATTCAGTCAAGATGTCTGGTATACGGCGGGTCCGGTTTCCTGTCAGTGACGGCGCGGCGAGTCAAAAGACGTACGACCGCGTGTTTGTACAATAGAGCCCCAGAAGGTCGGTCTTTTTATGACCCAAACTGAATGGTTAGATGCGGGAGGGGGAAGTATTGCACACACGATTGGTGCCATGTGTAAATCGTTTACGAACAGCGTGTACGCGGACGGTTACCATCAGCCTACCGAAAAATTATAACCCCAAAGAAAAGATTCAATCTGGACAACGTCATTATACCATTGTTTACGAAGAAAAAAATATGTATATTGTATACGCAGTACATAATACGTATACCTACTATATATAATATATATATTCATTATTCACACAAAAATATAATATTAGTATTTCAAACATGTACCTACAGAAAAAAAATAATCCCTAAAATAGGCGTGTAAAAAATAAATAATCAACGAGTATTGTGAATGAAGTGTATATATAAAAAAGATAACTATATATATATATATATGTATGTATAACTGTTTATCATTGTAGACAACCCATCTTATTTTGCGTTGAACCAAGGGTTACGGAGGGTTGTCCCGCTGGTTGATAGGCAGAGGATGGCCAGGAACAAAACAGAGACGGGATCGATGGGCAGGACCAGAAAGACAGATAGGAGCGGTAACAAGTGCCTAACGAGGTCTTTTAGCGCTAACATTGAAGAAGCCAGATTACTGGTGATGGGACAACCTAGGCCAGCAGACGTAGCACCATCAGTTAAGCACAGGAGACACGCTAGCACCGGTCACAAGGTAAGGTTTTTATTCTTATTAATAATTATAATTTATCGCTAAAGATTTAATCACATAAAGACTTATAATCTAAACAATATTATGATCAATGCATTCAACTAAATTGAGTCTTTATAATAAAAATATATAAGCAATACATTTTTGGTCGACAGATATAAATATTGGTATTCTTTTATGATTATAAATCGATGTTTTAAGTATAACATAATTTATATGAAAATATGCGGGCTCAGTAAATTTAGTAAGTTAAAATGTTAGTAGTAAAAAATAACCTTATATATTTGGTCAACATTTTTTACCAGTTAATTTTTTTTATCAATCAAAATTATATGTGTGAATTATAATTAATTATTGTATTTTATGAAATAGGTTTTCGATTTTTTGCGGCTATCATTGTATTGTATTAATTTATTAGCTCTTGTCAAACGGTTAACACTATATTATGCCAAAGTTAAGTTGTATTTAACTTTACTTTTAATTTAACTGTAGTTAATTGTTACTATTGTTTAATTTTTTTATAAATAATTTAAAAAATATAAATTTTAATGATATAAATTGTTAAGATTACACTAATACAAGAAAATATTATTCGGACCTATAAGTACATTCGTTTTATATTTTATATTATATCAATGTATTTGCGTTGAATATAGTATTATTAGCTATTACTTATTATAGTAGTGTACTCGTATATATTTAATCACTACTATGAGTATACTGAAATATGTTAAATTAAACCTTTAAACTAATTCTATTATTATCCAATCAGTCAAATAATTTAATTTTAATATAAAGTCTTCACTTTTATAATGAAATCTGTGTATTATTTTTTAAACTTTTGACTATTGTTTTCTTCAAGTATAATATTTCATTAACAATTCAATGGTTGTTTAAATGTTCAATCATTATATTGTTACTTAATGATTTAAATTTTAAATCTATTAAATATAATTATAAAACATTGAAATTTATAAAATAATATTACGAATTTATGTTTAACGCGTGTATATTTGTGAAGACTGAGGACTAAGGAAATTAGAACACTATAAAGATTCTTGAATAAATAGGGTGAATGGCGTGTTTACTAGTAGGTAAGTTATACATATGACAGGTTGAGATTTAAGACTGATGAATGATGATATAACGCAGTCATTTTAAACATTAATCTTACGTCACTTTACTACAAGGAAAATTATTGTTTTTATACAAAATATAAAACGTTTAGCATACAGAAAGAATTAAAATGTTTTTTAAAAAGTGTAGAATAATATGTAATATTGTGGATAATACAATATATATTTATACTTAATGCTCAAATATTCAATCGCGACCATCAGATTAACCTACTAAATTATTGATAAATATATTATATGCAATTTACTATTTAGTCATGTATAACTGTATAAGCTCAAAATAAGGCGATCTACCAATAAATAGTCCAATAAATCAGGAATAATTTGCGGAAAAATGCTGACCACTGAAAAATTACTTATAAGTTATTAGTAATGACAATACTATTGATTAAATATCAATGATACTTAGGTACTTCAAACTAAATCGTTTGTTGTTCTTAAAATTCTTATTATCATGAATTATTAAACTTTGCAATGTATAACTTGTACAGCTGCTGGGCTATTAATCTACAGTAGTATAACTTACAGAAAAAAAAAAAAAAAAATAAGATTTAAGTGAACACTAATAAATATATAATTATTTGTTTGGAAAGTCATAAAAGTCCGACAAATAGTTTTTCTTGCACAACTCAACAACTGTATAAACATAAACGATATAATCCAAAAATAACCCAACTATACACAATAGGGTTAAATTTTAAAGGTGATCCCTCATATTTCTTATCTTTTACATTTTATAAAACAATCCTTGGTAAACGAAAACATCTTTGGCAAAGGGTTTTTTTTCTTATCATTAGCTCAAACTGACGGGTAGACGGATTATTTGGCACTCATTTATATATTTCAAGGCGAAGGTTAAGATAAAAAATTGACAAAAAAAACTGTATACCTATACTTATATACTATACACATTTAAACAATGGATAATATAATAGAATATTATTGATTTTTCCAATAATTTTAAACATTGAAAACATCGAACTTAAGGAATTGTATATTTTATTAACAGAGGGCTTAAAACCGAATAATTTTTTTAATCGTTTACTGTTTTATAATTGTTAATTTTTTTAGTGTTTTAGTTTTTTTAACCTATTTCAAGCATTTAAATTTATTTACTGGCATTTTGTCATTTTTTTTTTTTTATAATACACGTTATATATTTTTACTTATTATTGAATACTGGATAATTAATGCAGATATTGCATTTTTATTTTTTATTCTAATTAAGTTTATTAAATATAGCCACAGTACTTTTTAATGAACAGATATTAGTATCGTATGTTTATAAATTAGATGTAATTTTTAATGTGCATAGAAGAGATGTATTATATATATTATATATATATATGTATTGTTCATCATATTTATTTTTAAATTATCCACTTGATATTCAAATAATTGTCGACAGTGATTAATATTAACCATTACCTTCCCTTTTATATAATATTTATACATATATTTTAAGTTCACTCATATGGCTAAATGATTAGGTGTATTACATCGATATTAAATTAGTGATTACTATACACTTATATACATGTATATATATAAAATATAATCTTCGATACTCACTATTGCAAAGATATTTTTTTTTTTTTACGGTCGTGTCAATCACAGTGAGCAATATCATAAATGTAACGTTTATTTTAAAAATTATTACCAACAATTGATGGACATTCATTTTAATTGATTTATGTATTATAGGATTCGCTACAACACGATTTAGTTCACTGTGATTTACAACCAGACGGTGACGTATTCTTCAGTAGCAGTGGTGACGTACGGTACAGCAACCTGAAATCGACAGTTCGAGGGGGACGAAGACACTCAATAAGCTCGTTTGGAAACTATTCCAGCAGGCGCCCGTTAAGTGACTGCATGGCGAAAGCTCCTCGAGTAGGCGACCTCAAAGGTAATTTATAAGCTTGTGTTTTATATTTAGTTTTCTGCCAAAAGTCGTTTTATCCTTTATTATGATAAATTGTTTTTTGCGTTTATGCACGCATTATTAAAACGATCGATGTGTTTTACGAAATTACCTGTATTATATAGATTTTGTTGGACCGTGGGAAATTAATTTGAGAAAGCATTCCGATGATAAAAATGTTTAGGTTGTTTTTAAAGCTATAATGGCGCAACAGTCAAGAAATCATAGTAATAATTATTAAAGAAGGATAATGTTATGAAATCACGAATTCCTATCAACATAAATAATATACAATTATAGATTGGTTTATTTTTATATTTATTCAGTTATAATTTATATTTGATCTTCATGACCGTTCTTATATTTACCAAGTTAACATTTAATATTTATGCGTAAGTAAAAATAATAATTAATATGCTCTTTTCAAATGAATGTATTATCTTATAAACGATTCAACCATTCAAATTAGCATATTTACTAAAATAACTAGAGTTTCGCTGTCTGAAAGTTGACTTTTCTTGTCTATTTTCATTCATCAATTGTAAATATTTTAGTAATTGATAAAATAAAATAAAGAATTTTATATATATATATATATATATATATACATACATTTATCTAATAACCCTGGGAGAATTGTTATTAACACAAGGTATAGGTTCCAAATGTATTAATAAAAGGCTATAAAACTCATAAATATTCAAATCGTACTCAAACGTCTTTGAATAATTAAGCAAATGCTCAAATACTTTCTAAATTAAAAATAGCAATTGTGATGCATTATTTATTTATGTATTATAATGTAATATATTATTGTTTACTTATGGTATTTTACCACGCTTTAAAACGTTAATGTACAACTGTAAAGTACAATTTCACTAAAAAAACTAGGTCAAGCTTATTGAGTAGCATTCGTGGATTGCAGAATTTTATTTTTAGAGTAAAAGTCTACAAGTTCATATACCTACTTATATTGTAATGTATTTTTCATGAATTTTAAGTACATTTATAATTTAACAATTTTTCATCTTAAAAGTATCACTCATATATTATGTATTATATTAACCTTAAGTTTAATAATAAATAAATTATGTTTCAGCTATAGCATATATAATGAATACCTATACTTACAATTTTTTTTGCTTTGTAAGTACATGCGGTTATTAGTAAATGTTGTTAGTGTATAATTAAATATTTAATATAAGTTAATTAGCAATATATATTATGTAAATTTAGATAAATTTAATATGCAAAATGTTGATTAGATAGTTAGATAAAAATAAAATAGTATACTTTAATATTAAAAATATGATTTTACAACCATTTTCAAAACAATCGATAAGTTATTGAATCATTATCAGTAAAATTAATGATTAATATCACAAACATTTTGTATTAAAAAATCATCTTTAAATTTATTATTTGATGTATGTTTATAATATCTATATTCTATAAACTAGTAAGTTCTTCAAAATATCAAATACAATAGTATATTAATAATGTAATACTATTTTGGATGCATTGATAAAATATATAAGTTAACCGTTGTATTAAACACTACTAGAAAACATTATAGACGTATTTCGAGAGATTTTAAGTTCTCTTGGGTTATTTTTTGTACTAAGATTTTCTAATTTTTATTCGTTTTTGTTTTATTATTTGTATACAGGATTTATATGTAAACGGGAAAACTTTCGTAACATCTTGGAGTGTAGTTCCTGTATACAAACAATTCCATAAAAAAAAAATAAAAAAAATATAGTGTTGGCTAAACAAAACAGCCGTCTACCGGTCTGAGCATGCGTGCTAGAGGGGGGTGACTATTGAGTAGGGAAGTGCTTAAAATAGTTTCAGTCCGATACTTTCGTAGCACGTGTTCCCGCCGTTATACACTATGAGGATGTTTATTTCCGTACCTGCAGATGGAACTAAAATGTTTGCTAAACGATTATAAAAATAACGAAAAAAGGGTTGACGATGTATGCAATTGTAGTTTATGTGTAATGTGTACATATACATTTTTCAAGTAACTATTCATTTTTTTATTATTCTACCGTTTCCTTTTGGTACGCAACACATACGACACACATGCGCATGTGGCTCTCCGGATTACGGCTGGTATTTACTATGTCTAGTGAGTTTTAATTTTTTTTTCAATGATACGGCGTTGACTTCTACAATTTAAAGTACAGTATTCATAAAGACCGTAAGGCAATAACTTTACTAATAAAGAATAATAAATCATTTTATTTTTAAATTATTAATAACCATCATCATGTCTGATTCGTAATTTATAGTACAAGTATATACAGAGTGATTCATCAAACATGCTCATTCCCTTTACATCCTTTAATAATGTATTTATTCATTTTTTGGTAGTTAAAATTTTAAGACTTAAAAACCATGTTATTAAATACTGAAATCGAAAAAATTTACAGGACGTTTTGTAGGCATATCAACTTTTTTTTCAAAATCTCTCTTATTTACCTACTCTAATTTGTTAAATAATTTATTTATTTTTTATCCTAGTCGAAATTTAAACAAATAGTTTCTGTTGTTTTTAAGTAGTTAAAATATATGTACTAACTACTAAGAACAATATTTAATAATCCTTTATAATAGTTAAGCAAATTTACATAAAACATAAAATTGATAAAATATTTAGTCTGTTAGTACTTATTATAGATACTTGGACAATTCTAAAATAATAATTAACCAATATTAATTATTATAGTTTCCAAATCATCATAACCCCAATATATTCTAAACCTGTTATTACAAACTAGAAATATTATCTATAACTTACAAGTTTTGATTATTTGATTACTTTTTCTTCAAATTTTAACTAAGATACCTCAAAATAAAAAAAAATAAAAAATGAATACATTTTTTTTAAACTGGGGATGCGTAAACATTTGTTTTTCCTAAACTAATTTGGAAAACACAAGTAAAATGTCTACTATGCTAATTGAATTCAATATTCTATTAAAAACTGCCTCAAATTTGATAATTTAAGCGTTTTTACTATTTAAAAAGCGATTACAGGTACAAAAAACACACATTATTGTAAAACCATAATAATAATAGTAATTAATTCCTCCGGTTAAAATTTAAAATAATGGTTTTTATTTAAAAAAAAAGTAGCTAGTATTGCTCTATGACCCTTTTTAATTAAAATAACATATATAAGTAATTCAATGAATTACTTAAGTCCTTAAATATAATTAAAAATGTCGATTATCTAAATATGTATAAATTCGTAATTAATGGAAAAATGGCGTCGAGCATGTTTTGTAAATTACTATCTGTATTACTATATTCTTTATTATTTTTGCCACAGTCACATTTAGAAATAAATGATAAAATGTTTTAAGCTGATTTCAAATAAAATAATATCGTTATTAGGAGCATTGATGATTCGATAGAATACGTATAACAAACTAAATTTTGTTTATTTTATATTATAATAAATTATAAAATTTTAAAATGCACTGATCAAATTATATTACAATGATATTGTTGCTGGTGTTTTGTAGTAGTTGAGTAGCAATTTTATAAATTTTAGTTATACCTATTAAGTTATTTGTTAACACTATAATTTTCATATTTAATAAGATATAATTCATTTTAAACTTCATAAAATCTTTATTTTTTTTTACTTCAAATTAGCATTAAATTACACATTATACATTTATAAAGCTATCTACGTATAAATATTAATTAATAATAACCATATATAGTTTTCAATGTAAATATTTTGTCCATAACATTAATTTTCAGTTAAGAAATAAAGTTCTTAAAAAAGTTTTTAAAAATATCAATTACCAATAAAGTCTTACTAGGGTCATTTTAATTTGAGCAAATCAAGTATATAGGTAGGTAAATACATAGTTTTTACTATAAGTACGAATTTGTACGATTTTAATTGAATTAAACATAAAGTATGATTTTTACTTACTCTGTAAACTACAAATTGTTTAATAGATAATGAAAGTACTTATATAATTTCTGATATATATTATAAGTTTATGCCTTGTAGTAATAATATGGATAAATATTAATGTAAATAAAATCATCATATTTTAAACAGCTCAATAAATTATACAAACACGATAAAAATAAATAATTACTGTATGTATTAATAACTTAACAAGTTGATTAAAAAAATTGACATATTATCAAATAATAAAATTTTTGATAAACGTGAATACACCATCATCAGTTTATGGTCCTTGGCTATTAAACTTCCATGAGTCATAATAATACTACAATTACAAATATTAAATTTAAATATCACATAGAAATATAGAAAGATAATAATAATAATAATGATACTATAAATATTTACGTTTTGCCTATTCATTAAAATTAAGGATTAAATTAAAGTATTTAATGGTAAATTATTTCAAACCTATAATTCAATTTTAAATATGAGGTTTTACCATCATAGTCGTTTAAAAAATTAAAATTAATTAATTAATTAAAATATAAAAACTGCTACTAAAGAACGTTTTTTTCTTACATCTAAATTTTGCACATTTTATAATTTCAAATAATAATATTACTCTAGTGTTTTTTTATACCTAAGTATAGTTATTTATTTTATTTAGAACATCAAATTAATTTTTTTTTATGAAAGACACAAATTATTAGGTAGTGTTAATATGTCCTTATAAATTATAATTTAAATAAGGTCTAATAAAAATTTCAAAAAAATTTCGAATAAACTATTTAAAACTAAATTAATGTTTTTTTTTCATTTGTGTTTAATAATAATTTACATTATTAGATAATATTAATACCATAATATGATAAATTATTACATTGTAATAGGTGTATATAAAAACAATGACATTATAAAACTGTGTAATTATTTATTTACAAAGTTTTAACAATTTCTAAGAAATTGTTAATATTTATATTTGGTTTTTATACATTAAACACTCTTATAGGTTTTCTATTTAATCTCCGGTAGATTTTCTTAC